ACTTTCTGTACTGCTTTTGATTTTTTTTTTTTTTTTTGGAGACAGGGTTTCTCTGTATTGTTTTGGAGGCTGCTCTGTAGACCAGGCTGGCCTCGAACTCACAGAGATCCACCTGCCTCTGCCTCCCGAGTGCGCCACCAACGCCCGGCTATATACTTTCTGTACTGTTAATAAAAGATAGTGAAAAGCCTTTTGTTTGAGGCAGACACAGGGACAGACAAGGCAACACATCATTCGGGCACACACACACAGATGTAGACTCAATATGACAGACAGATTACAGGAAGGCCAGAAACAATAAGCCACACAGAGATGGAAGACACAGAGAAGTGAAGGATGAAAATTTGGGCTCATTCTTGGTCAAACTACTCCAAAATGAAGTCTGATTTCTTTAATGTGACGTTCACACATACTGTGACTCTGCATTTACCACAAATATATATAAATGACACAAATCTCCACCTGCTCAGTGTTAAGGAAGCTACATCCATGGCTCTTTTAGTAGGCTCTCAAGCCCTCTGCATCCCATGCTTCAGGTGGTCTCAGGACCACCCAAGATGCTGCATGACAGTATCAGAAACCAGTTAGAGTCAAGATTACTTAATAGTCATCTGGTGTGTCTCCATCACCATGGCTCCATCGGCTGTAGAGTATAATTACATTCTGACCTGGAAATTTTCTTCCCAAGACTTAATTTCCTAATCTGCAAAATAAGAGTAATCCTTTCACACTGGAGTTGTTTCTTTTTTAACGGAAGTAGGTGGTATTACAATATGAGACAATTTAGGTGTTAAATAGGTAGTGATGTTCCTCACTCCATCTAAACACTCTGGGCCATATGAATGAGTAAAAGAAATACAGGGCAGGGATGTCAATCAACAGCTACAATGCTCACTCAGCATTGGCGTTCTATAGTATAACACTGAGTACATTTAGTAATAATGCATCATTATTATTACAGAAGAGATGAATTAGGATGCGATTACCAGGAGGAAATGGAGGAATTTAAGGTGATAGATATACTAATCACACTTGATAAATGACTGACGTACAAGAATCAAAATATCACATTCTGTCTCATAAACATGTATAAAATAAGCATAAACAAATTAGACAAAGGTGTTTAATTAAAATGTATCTACAACTAATGCTTCAAATACAAGAATTTTAATTTAGGGGCTGGAGAGAAGACTCTGTGGTTTAGAGAATTTTGTTTCACCTACATAGTAGCTTGCAACCATCTGTAACTCCAATTGCAGGGGCTCTAACATCTTCTTCTGCCTCTGATGGGACTAATTACACGAGTGGTGTACATACATGCATGCAGACAAAACACTCACACTTATACAATAAGATAAATCTTTAAAAATACCATTTAATTTTGAAACATTTGTGATTGTTACTCTAAATATGACTAGGTTTCCCTTGGTTTCAGCTGTAAAAGGATAAATGCCAAATGTTTGGGAACACATAGTATAGAATACCAAAAGTTTATAAATTTCATATCCTGAAGTACATCACTGGGGATGAGCTTTAAGGGTTTACAGCCTCACCCCATACCCAGCTAGCTCTCTCTGCTTCCTGAATGTGCTTGGTATATGATCTCCAGGTTTCCTTCTCCTCCCCCTGCTGTCATGCCTCCTCCACCATTACAGACTTACCCTCTAGAACCACCATAAGCCAAAATAAAGTCTTTCTTCTATAAGTAAAAATAAACAAATAGATAAATTTCATATCCTAGTCCTTTTTTTCTAAAAAATAATAAAAAGTAAAATATTCCTCCATTGTAGACAGAACTCAAAATATAGGGAACTGATAAAGCAGAAGGTTCCGAGAGAAATAAAGCAGGAAGGACATTTCTTAATGGTTTACATCTTCGGAATGATGACGATAAGGGTGAACAAAATCATCAAAATTGGTTGAACTGACATGTAAGACTCTTCTCCCGGCTCCTTCCCCACATCTCTCCTGTACACACGTAAATTTACTCTGAGCAATGTTCAAACACGGGCACTGCTGTCATTAGCTCTGTCTCATGCTGTCCCTCACAGCCCTTGGGCTTATGTCTGTCTGTACCCTCTGGCCAGCCACTTCCAGCAACTTTTCACCATCCTTCTGATTTTTGCTTCTGGAGAATCAGCGTCTCTAGATGTCACATGTAAATGAGATTATGCGACATTTGATATTCAGCAGCTGGTTTATTTAACACATATCTTCTAGATTCACACATGTTGCTACAAACGACATGATTTCTCTTTTTAAGGCTAACTGTTCATTCATGGTGTATATTACTCCATTTTTTTATCCATTTATCATTAGTAGATACTTAGGTTTATTCCATATCTTGCTTATTGTACGGTAGTACCTTTGACCCACTAACTTCCTTACTAGACAGTGATAGTGTTTTCCCTTTTATGTAATCATTCCTTTAGAACTTTTAATTTTCTGTGAAACTCTCCAATCTCATAGGTACTTATGGTTTTCCAGAGCAAATTTTGTATCAGTAGTTTCTATTATTGCCATTCTGGGCTATTGTTTTTTTAAAAGACCATAGCGTTTAGTCATCTTTTGGTGCATGTCACCAGTGAATTTAGTCAAACTGTCACTCCCTTCCAGATTATCAAGGCAAGCCTTCAGCAATAACACACCAGATATGTGACCCTTGGGTGACCTCCTGGATCCCCATGGAAGTCTGATTCAAGCAGGGTGATCTATTACAGCCATGCCTGAAGCCTGCTGATTAGTTTTTCTGTCACCCTAATCAGATACAAGCATATTTAATTCCGATAACCACATCTTAAGGCAGTGTGGTGATCTATTTACTAAGATTCAAATGTATTTACTAGCTCAGAAATTTAATATGGGGGAAATATCTACCATTTGGTTCAATTTAATCTTCTCTATTAGTGTCTTAGGAATTTTTCTTCATTGCTAGCCCAAAAAGCATTATACGAAATATAGCAAGCAAACTGTATGTCCAACTGATTCACAAAATGAGAAAAATCTAGAAATCTCAGCTGTTTTTAAAATTATCAAAGCTAATCAAATATACTGAGCACAAATAGGTTAAAGAAAAAGAAAGAGGGGAAAGATAAGTCAGTCTGAGGAGACAAATAATTAAATAGAAAGTATAGTTTCCTATTCGGTCTTTCTAAAGGAGAATAGAAGAGCTGATGTGATAGTTTCAATACCCTAGTATTGTAATTAGCATCAAGCCATAAATGTCCTGAGCAGAGCTGGGTGTAGTTCACTGGTAGAGCATTGGCCTAGGCTATGGGTCATATACTCCGTCCCTTAGCTTGCGCATGCGCGTGCACACACACACACACACACACACACACACACACACACATATTCTGGACAGTTAAATATGAGCTGGTTAAGAAGTTTACAGATCCTATCTCCTAGGTGTGGCATGCCCTTGCACTCATGAAATCACAGACAGCCTGTATGAGACTGGGCCCTTTACCATTCCATCATGGATGGAGAATGGGCTCAGTCATCCCACCTTCCCTGAGAGGCCATCAGCAGTTACAGCAGTTACTTGGGAAGGAGGAGCCATTTTCTTCAGTGATGTAGCCACTAGTTAATTACCCATGCTTCCATACGTAACTCCCCGCCCATGTTCGTGTAAACAACCCTAATTAAACTCAGTGGGCCCTACACATACACGCAGGAGATTAAAGTGGGAGGGGGCTGCCGGGAAGAAGGTTGGGTAGGAGGGGGAGGGGACGAGAGGGTAATGGGAGGGTGTGTACGATCTGATCAAAATACATTATATACGTGTATGGAGCTGTCAAAATGTTAAATATACATAAAAAACAAGGAATAGTTCTGTCTTTTGATGTAAAAAGTAAATTCACAATAAGCATATGCTATGGAGGCCAAAAGGAAAGCAAAATAGAAATCTACCACCATGCTTGATGACTAAAATCCACACAGATTTTACAGTTGAAAATCAACTGTACAAAAAGCCGCAGCAAATCCAGGCCCTTGGCTCTGTCAGCTTAGCATAGCTCACCACATCATGAGTCAAAACGAAGTTCAGAGTTACACGCACATGTCTCCTCAGTGAGTCCTGATGTAAGTCAACTAACAGTCCTGCGATTTATTTTAGAAAGAATACGACATTGACTCAAGTAAGTGCTGGTATTAGATTAACCAGCATGCTACGGGAATTCAGAGGAAACAGTCCCCCATTCTAACTAGGGTAAAAATTACAGGCAGGAAATTATAGAATATTACCTCAGAGTGGCTTTTATAATGGAACTTCAGGCTGGGCAAGTTTTAGAATCATTTTTATGTGTATTTTGCATATTCATAGAAATATTATAAAACACAGATCAGCAAAGAATCATATGTAGTCTCATAAAATAAAATGAAAAGCCTGTAACTCTACTGATTAGCAGAAAGATAGAGAGGGGGGAGGGAAGGAGGGAGGGAGGGAGGGAGGGAGGACAGAGAGAGAGAGAAACATTTTCTTTTCCTCCTCCTTTTCCATGCCTAGAACTGAACTCAGCCTTGTGAATGCTAAACACATGCTTTCCTACTAAGTTACACACCAGACAAGCAACAAGCAGAGACAAGCAACTTCATTAGAAACACGTAACTTTCCCAAAGCTCCCTCAGATATGTTATAAATATGTATGTTATATCTTTCTGGAATTTGCTTTCACGTAAGAATCTCTCTGTGTGTTTATATCTGATTCATCAGCTACCATTTTACAAACATTTGAGAATTTCAAGTTTTTGTTAGGATGGCAACTTTAAGTGGGGTAGCATGCCTTACCAAATATTTTCTTCAGTACTTAGGAGTGAATTGCTGAGAGTTTTCCGGATAATGCGTAAGCTGGTTCTGAATTTATAACCCTCCTTTAAAAAAAACACAATTTTGTTCTTTGACAATTTCATCCATGTATATAACAATTTTGTTCTTTGACAATTTCATCCATGTATATAACAATTTTGTTCTTTGACAATTTCATCCATGTATATAACAATTTTGTTCTTTGACAATTTCATCCATATATATAACAATTTTGTTCTTTGACAATTTCATCCATGTATATAACGCCTCTGGCTGCTCTCTGTCCTCTGCCCTACCAGGTTCCCTCCCTCCGCCACCAGCCTCCCTTCTGCTCTACAAATCTCTTTCTCATAGTCATGACTCTTTGGTTTGAAGATAGAACCAAGTATGTAAGTAGTTTTGTGGTGTTGGGTTCTTCAGTTAAAACAATAGAAAAGAGACTTACTGGATTGTAAAATTAAGAGCCGAGTGAGCGAGCATGCCACTAATGGAGAAAGACGGATTTTCATGGAACCAGCACCTTCTTCCAGACCGTCTCCATGTGATGTCAACTGAAGCAGAACTTTGGCTCTTTAGGGTTTTGCTTTTGTTTTGTTTTCTGTTGTAGTGTAATATGTTTGTGCACATACACCAGTTACTTCATGTCCAGTGAAAGAGTGGAAGAAAAGGGTCATGAACCAAACTGCACCTTTCTAGCTGAGAATCTATTCTCTGGCAGTAACGAAATTCTGGAGTGGAGTAGCAGGCTCCCTGTTTAGTAGACACTTCCCCTCCGACACTGGAACACATCTGTCTATTTTCATCCTCTGCTTCCAGCTGTGCAGGCCTGTCTGTTGCACTGATTGGTTCCCCATCCAACTGGAATCTGATCTGCCTCACAGACAAACCCTGTGCCTCACAATAGGTGTTCGTTGGTTCACTGCCTCTTGACCTTAAACACCACAGAGCCATCGCCTGTCACCTTCACATATATATGAGCCCTGTTCTCAGTCTTGGCTCCTTCCTTGGGTTATGACAGGATGTCACAGGGCAGATGACACAGGACGGTTACAGGACAGTGAAACAAGGTGTTCTAAGACAAGCTCTGGAAGGAGGAAACACAACGGCTTCAGAAAGTCTCTAAAACAGACCAGATTCAATAGACCCCCTTCCTTCCCAAAACTACAGGAACAAGAAGGACTGCTGAGGGACACTTTCAGACAAGCTGAACTGCCTGGAAGAAGCTCAGACTGAAGAACCAAATTGCCTGGAAAGAACACTTTTCTATCCCATTAAGTTGCCTGCAGGTTGTTTAGTGCAGTTCAGATTTCCAAATGTCATGCTCTGTCACCTAGGTTGAGGTGGACTCTGGTGATACAGCTGTCATTTCTGCCCCTGTGAGTAACCCTTCACTCTTGTAACTAATCTAATGAAATGAACTGGTTTGCCTGTTGGACTTTGGTAGTATAGGTACTTAGGCCTGTAATCAGTTCCCTATCTGGGGTGAGTAGTCATTTGTTCACATCTTCCCAGGAACAGTGTCACACACCACGGTTCAGGTGGCTGGAGGCTTCTGGTATAATGTATTGACAAACAAGGCAGTATCGTAACTGAAGGTACAAAGTAAGGTAACTGCACAATAAACAAAATAAATAAAAGGATAAGGCAGGAAAGACTTATATACAAGGATACTGACAAAGCCCTGAGAAACCTAACAATCATTCACAACACAAGTGAATTAGGCAAGGACTAAGTTCTGCCAGGCAGGATAACTGTCTTTGCAAAGGCAACAGTAACTAACTACAGGTCCTCCTCACAAATTGCACCTATCTACAAGTCTGTGGCTCCCTAAAACCTAGCCATAGACCACCATGGGCTAATAGACGATAATTCTAATTCAAGAGGGGAAAAATTCAAGTTGAGAAATATTTCTGTCTATGACAATCACTTTATCTGAACCACAAAGTCTGCGAGGTTTGACTGTGAGAAGAGGATCGGAGGACACTAGGCTGTGATATCATCTCCTTCGTGAGGAGGATTGATATTCTTATGAAAGAGGTGTCACACGACTGTGTGACTAGGCAGATCTTCTGTCTTCCACTACGTGAGGACGCACGAAGCATCTCCTCAGCACACATCAAATGCTAGCACCTTGATATCAGACTCCCCTGACTTCAGATCCATAACAAGTGACCTTGTATTTGTCATGAGTTACCCACTCTTAGCTATTCTAGAACAGTAGCATGAGCAGGCTATGACAATGCTATAAATGTTAATTAGCGCATATGTGTGATTAAATATCCTCAAGTTAGCCTAGAAAACATTCAACATGAAAACCTCTTATTTGAAGCTTGCTATCAGTGTCTGTATAAAGTTTACAAGATAATCAGAAGGAAGACTATTTAGATACCGGTAATTCGATTTTTTTTCTTAAAATGAAATCAGCAAACATCGCATCCAAACAATCTAAGCTATTGTCCATCTGGCTTCTGTACAATTTTATCATTAAGCATCTTTCATCTAAATAATTCAGTAAGGATTATTAATGGTCCCTGATCCTCTACCAAATACCTCTTTGCCTTTCTGTACAATAGAATCCAGAAATTGTTGAGGATAATTCAGCCTGTGTGGTTTTACTGGATCAGATATGTCTCTGAGAAGGAAATGGTAAAGGAAGGAGGCAGGTCTTAGTTACATCTAAATATGAGCAGCTCTTTATGCACTGAGAGCACAAGACCACACAGAGTACAATGTAGGAAACTCACCAGGAATCTGTTCCAGTTCTAATACGTTCCAACCCTTGTGGTAGGAAAGGCCACAAAAACCAATCCAAAAGCACCGAGTTTAAACCCAGTCCAGAGAAGTCTCTCTGCTTGGATAATTTTGCATGTTGCCACTCATCAGAAGACAGGTTTATCAACACACCCACCCTGATTCCAAGCCAACAGCAAGCAGCATTGTGGAGTCTGGGCATCAGGGTGAAAGGGTGGCCAGGGCATCAGCAGATCGAAACATGAGGGGACTGCTGGGCAGCAGCTGGAGGAAGTTTGGCCATGCTGGCAGGGGGACATACGAGTGGCTGACCAGCGAACCAAGCCTGCCCCTTCTGGAGCCCCAGCTGCAGGTCTGTATCTCTGAATTCAGTCATTTCTTCCTCCTCAGTATGTTCCTTGGATCTTTAACCCAATAATGCCTCTGTTTTCAGGTTTTAAAACTTAGTGGCTATGCTGAAAAAAAATATGAGCTCTCTGATTAGCAGTCTGTAGGAAATAACGTTAAGGTTGGGAGGGTGGCAATCGCAAATGAATCATAGGAATATTTGTTCTATCAATTATAGATCAAAGAACCCGAGGCTAGGAACCAAGTGCTTTTTTACCTGTTCTAGCTGTGTTCTGTGCTCAGTGTGCAATGTCTTGATGCTATGTACAAACCTAAGAGATTGGGGCTGTTGTGCCTAGCTGTGTAGCGAGCACTGCGTCTACCAGTTCACAGAAACCTAGCATCTTCAAGAAGGACAGCAGGGGATTAAGGAAGTTTTCTCTTTTGTTGCTTTCAGTTGTCTGGCAAATCACCAAAGAAGTATCAATCTAAGCATCATTAAAGAAAAAAAATGTATAGAAATCTATGAACAAAGATTCTACAATCAGAAGATAAATGAATGGCATGCTGACCACTCATGAAAGGGAAATAAACTTGTTTTCTAGAAAACTGAAGATATTGGTGATTAAAATCTCCTAAACCTATATCTATAGAAAACACAGCCTACTATAGAAAGATATATCCTCCACATGTTGTACCTTGAACTCAGAATTTTTCTAAAATGTCCCTTGAGTAAACACAAACATCAGAAAATGATCAGAAGTTAAAAAACAAATTTGCATATAGGAAAGGATTTTAGAGTCTTTGAGCAGGTATAACTTTTCTATATGAAGGACACACAGCAATTTCAACCATCATAGCATGGATAATCCAATAAGGAAATTAAGAATACTAAAATGCATCTGCACTATAGCTCTGAAATGTTCTTAACTGGAAAATAGAGTACTTTGTCTCAGGAGATTGTAGTACTCAGCATGTTAAACAATAAAATAAAACAAAAACACTTCTAATACTATTTAGCATTTTGGACAAAAATAATAAACCAGTGATAATACTGATTTCATTTAGGGCTGCATTATTTTTCTTTCCCAATTTTTTGCAACTAATATTGATAATACTAAGTGTACCATCATTGTAAACAACAGCATTTATTACTTAAGACCTTTTAAATAGACTGTTAAGTACCCTTGTATTCAGTACATATTAAATTTACCAAGTATAATATGAAATTTAAAATTTGATGACCATAGTAGGCCAGAAACTGTTATCATGTTATTAATATAGAATAAATTAAAAATCATATTGCAAAAAAAAGATCTGTGTTTTTAGGGGTGATTATTATTTTAAAGGGGAAGTTATCTTTAACATATTAAAGAGAACAGGAATTACAGTTAAATTACTCAAATTCGATTTGTTATTTCAGTAGATTGCTTTATATTGCTTTATAGTCCCACCCTGATGCCCAGACTCCACAATGCTGCTTGCTGTTGGCTTGGAGTCAGGGTGGGTGTGTTGATAAACCTGTCTTCTGATGAGTGGCAACGGGGAAAATTATCCAAGCAGAGAGACTTCTCTGGACTGGATTTAAACTCGGTGCTTTTGGATTGGTTTTTGTGGTCTTTCCTACCAAAGGCATGCACCACCACCACCAAGCTGTCTTTAGTATTTTACTGTTAGTAAATTTGAGTGGCTTGAAACATGAAGATAAAATCTCACCAGTCACTGAGATCTTTATATACATTAATCCACTTCATTCTTCTGCTAATCCTCAAAGTCAGACACCGTTATTTCCATCACCAAGAGGAGAAAACTCCTGTCCAGAGGTGGTAAGTGTTCTCCATGGTCACATAGGAGAGAGATTTCAAAATGATCTGTCAAACCCAAAGATCGCAGCTGCTCTGCCTCTTAAAAAGGCTTTAGCTAAAAGATCTCAATTCCTATATGACCAAGAATAAAATAGCTGACAATGTAAGCAGAGAATCAACCATCTAATTTTGAATCAGAAAAGAACATACATTGTAAAGTCTTTAGGGAATAAGAAAAGATTAGCCATACAAAGCAAAGATGAGTCAGTTGTCCTGCCCATCAAAATCATAACTCCAAAAGGAAAAGCAAGAAGGGAGATCATCGACTATTTCTACCCAATGAGCTTGCCATTTGATTTACTTCTTGTTTTTCTTTCTTCCTTCGTTTCTTCTTTTCTTTCTTAAGATTTGTTTATTTATTATGTATACAGTGTTCTGTTTGCATGTTTTGCCTCACAAGAGGGCACCAACTCTCATTCCAGATGGTTGTGAGCCACCATGTGGTTGCTGGGAACTGAACTCAGGACCTCTGGAAGAGAAATCAATGCTCTTAACCTCTGAGCCATCTCTTTAGCCCTCTTTTTTTTTTAAACACATTTTTCATCTTTAAAGTATTTCTTTCCCATGGTCACAGGTATCTGCATTTTTACTTTGTGTTTTATTTCTATAATACAGAAACTTTTAAATACATCTTTAGTGACTGATCTTAAAATAATATGTGGGGAATTACAACAATAATTTTTAGGCTGCATTTCAATTTTGCTATTGAAGCATCAATTCATGACATTATTTTCTCCATTAGGAACCATTATTATTTTTTTGTGGGCTAACATACAAAATTATAATCTATTAGATTGTATGGGAGATTTTATGTAATTTACTTATTTATTTTGACTTACATACTCCAGGCTGATCCTAAAGTTGCTATGTAGCCAAGGCTAGACCCACACTCCTCCTGCTTTCTCCCCTTGCCTTCCACCATTGCTGGGATTAAAGGTTTGAGTCACCACATTGGATTATGTGTAAATTCTTTTTTTTTTCTTAAAATTTCAGAAACTTTCAGGTCACAGGTAGTGGTATACACCCAGGAGTCAAAGGCAATCTCTACAAGTTCAAAGCCAGCCAGGGTTACATAGCAAGATTCTGTCTCAACATCTTCTACAAATGTAAAAATAAATATATAGATGGATAAATTTTCAATTCTGCTTGTCAAACCAATATTACATAATCAAGCTTAACTATGACTCTAAGTGCAGCTGTGAAATCCGAACTCATTAATTATATACATGTGGTATGAACTTATAACCATATGTGATTTTGTTCCAGAATTAAACACGAATGTTATGTGAGTTTTCTGTGCCAATAAAAACACTATTGGCTTAATTCTAAACCAAGTAAGTAGATAGATTATGCAGATTCCCAGTGAAAAGAATAAAAGGTGGACTTACCAAAGTAAAGGAATTCTAACATTTTAACCTCGATGGTCCGTGTGTGCATGGACATTCCGAACGCACACATCACGTGTTTTCGCATTATCACATGGGGTCCCTGGGCTAAACTTGTAAGGCCCACTGCCCTCATCTTCTAACTCATCTCCTTGCTAACTCCAGGGCACTCAGCAGGTGAGTTCCACCCAGGCGGATGTGAAGCCATTCCTGTGCATTCTACTTCCGGCCACCATCATGCTCTTCCTGGCCTTCTTGCTACTCTTCCTGTACCAACGCTGCCAGGCCCCACAGGCCCAAGGCCAGGTATTCGGCATCGACCTCCCAGAGCCCCCTTCTGTAGAGGTGACCGACATCTTGCCCAGCCGGCCTTGGGGTAGCGAGCAAACTGTCCCTTACTCCCCACTGCCTGTCTTTGAGACCCTGCAACTGACCTGCCTGCCACCCTCCTATGAAGAAGCCATGGGGAACCTTCCTGGGAAGGAGATCCTGGGCATGGTGCCTCAGAATGGAGAAGAGTCACCCTGACCAGAGGAGGAAAAGAAACTGCGCTGGAAACCTAAAACATCTTCCCTACCCTTACAGACGGTGCAGGGAAAGAGAGGCCGGCCATCCAGACCCAAGAAGCCGAGACTCACTGACGTCCTACCCTTAGGATACTTTCTAAGTACCAGATAACCCTGCTTTCCAGTTTCTTAGGGAAGAGACCCCCCCAAGTCCTTACCCAAACTTCCCTAAATCAAACACCCCTTAGAGAAGTGGAAAAGTCGGTGATGAGAAAAGAAATGAACCAGTCGAATGAATAGGCTAATTCCTAAACTCACTAGGAATTGGTTCTGAACAGCCAGAAAAAAAAGGCGGGCCCAGCTGCCCAGCTAAATTCCACTACGTTTGCCTCCACGTGAAATTTGGGTTCCTAAATCAGTTTTGCAGGGTCCTCTTAGCTTTGCTTCTATTTCAAGAAACATAGAGAGTCCTAGAAGCAATAGAAAACATTCCTAGAGCTTCGGGGTAAATTGTACTATAAATAGCAATGGTCTATGTTTGAATATAAATGGAAATACAGGTTTGCAAATATTTTAGTTAAAAAAATAACCCTTTTTAGTATTATTTCCTTTTTGTATGGCTCTCATATATGTCCTCTGGTTTGTTTTATGGAGTGAAAATGTAATTTGTCTGGTTTCCATGGGAATGTCTCCCAGTGCACAAGTGCTATGTAGAAGTGATGGTTATTATAATCTTGCATTGTCTTAATATATTTTTCATGCTATGTCATTTTCACACACTATAGTGCAACTGTATACCCTAGAACACCATAACTGTGTTGTAGTCTTCACCATTGTAAATAAAGGTTAAAAAAATTTTTGGGTCACATGGTTAAGTGGAATAGACTGCCTCTAACAGAAACCTCATAAACCAGATAACTCCAATTCTGGCTTTACAAACAGACATCACTGTAATAGACCTGTAAAGGCAGAACTATGATGACCAGAAGCTGGGCCTCTATGTTCTGAGTAGTGCCTTCACAGAAGTAGATGTTTTCCCACAAATATCATTCAGGTAGGACTCAGCCCACACTCCTCATGGATTTGGGGCACTCACTGTAGGCTAGTTTGGGGTTAATAACAATCTTCCTTGATGGTATTCCAATGGTACTTGGGAGGTGGATCACAATAGCCATGGAGAAAACAAAGTAGACATTGGTGTATGAGTGTGACATAATTCTTAAAGTCTTACTCACTAATATGCTTTATTGAAAACCACTTTTGTTGTTTTTACAATATAAATTAGACAATTCTTTGATGAGCCCAGGTGATATGATCAAAAATAGTGTAGCTTTTATCTTTTTGATACTTTTATGCCAATTTGCAATGTTGTAAATTTTAGAAAGACAGCAAAGGAAGCAAAATTGTCTTAAAATGGAATCCGGTAGGAAAAATGGTTTTAGCTCTGAAAACGAAGGCAAACATAACCCATGAAGGCAGACAATCAATGGAATTTCTTTTAGGGCAATTTCTTGTAATGAAAATTCTCTCAGGGTCTTTGAAGGAAATAAATAAACACTGTGTGGTGAGGATCTAAGCACACAGCCTTCTGCAGAGTTTTCTGACCTAAGAATTTGGTTGTGTGGGAGGGAGCTGTCTCTTTGACGTTTTTCCTGATTTGGTTCTCGGATCTTAAACTGCCATATTCAGACAGGCACACTCCAAACACAGAGAAGTATCATCATAATAACACGGTTTCAGTTCCTTTACCACAGACTGATCAGGTTTAGATCTGTAAGGGATAAAGACTTTTCTTAGAAAAGTTTGCCTTACCATTAAAAACAAACGTTTGGGACTAAGGAGATGGCTCAGTCATTAACATGTTTGCCAGGCAAGCATAAAGACCTGAGTTTGATTGCTAAGAACATACATTAAAAAGCCAGGTATGCCAGGCAGTGGTGGCGCACACCTTTAATCCCAGCACTCGGGAGGCAGAGGCAGGCAGATCTCTGTGAGTTCGAGACCAGCCTGGTCTACAAGAACTAGTTCCAGGACAGTCTCCAAAGCCACAGGGAAACCCTGTCTCAAAAAACCAAAACCAAAACCAACAACAACAACAAAAAAAAAAGCCAGGTATTCAGGGGCTGAAGAGATGGCTCAGCAGTTGAAAGCACTGTCTGTTCTTCAGAGGTCCTGAGTTCGATTCCCAGCAACCACATGGTGGCTCACAACCACTTATAATGAGATCTGGTGCCCTCTTCTGGCCTGCAGGCACAACACTGTAAACATAATAAATAAATAAAAATCAGGTATTCATTACTCTGCCAGTTCTGGAGAGGCAGAGACCAAGGGATACCCAGAGCTTGCTAGTCAGATACTTTATTCAAATTGATGAGGATGTTTCAGCTAGAGATTCTGTCTCAAAAAAAAAAAAAAACAATGTACAGAGCAATTAAAGACACCCAATGTTAAACTTCAGCCTTGACATACATGTAAACATACAGACACACACCCACACATGTGTGCACATCCAATATAAATGCCTCCCCAAAGAAGTATTCTTATTCTTTGTTGGATGTCATATATCTGCATGTGATGTCTGGGGCCACTACAGCTATCTTGCAGTCATGAGGCAAGGCATCATTTATTACTGATAATGTGAGTAACAGAACAGGAAAATAAGAAACATGCACTAAGGGCTGAGTAGAACAACATGTATGTAACTAAGCCTGTAGTTTACCCTTTCATATGATTTTAAATCATTCAGGCCCAGCTTGCTACACATTGACCAAATAATCCCAACAGCTACAGTTTCTAAAGACAAGTATTACTGCCAGCCCCGGAAAGGATGGCTCAATGCTTACAATGAACTAGACATTTAAAAGTATTTATTGTATTACATTTTGTGTGTGTGTGTGTATGTGTGTGTGTGTGTGTGTGTACTGAAGTGCCTGCAGAGGTAGCCATGGTCCCCTAAAGCTGGAGTTGTAGGCCACCTGATAAGGATGTTCCAGTCCTCTAGAAGAGTAACTAGTACTCTTAATCACTGAGCCATCTCTTCAATTACCTAGAAATGCTTTCTAGAAGTACTAAGTGACCTTTCCCAGAAGACAGCTTGAGAAGCACTAGTGGCCTAGATATCACTGATGAACCTTTTGAATTTTTTAAATTTATTTATTATGTACAGTGTTCCTGCATGCCAGAAGAGGGCACCAGATCTCATTATAGGTAGTTGTGAGCCACCACGAGGTTGCTGGGAATTGAACTCAGGACCTCTGAAAGAGCAATCAGTGCTCTTAACCTCTAGGCCATCTCTCCAGCACCCCTCTTTCAGTTCTTAATCACTAGCCACCTTTTTATGTCTGTCTGGATCAGTGCTCCTACAAGCAAACTCCAAAATACTCAGGCATGGGATGACCCAGGAGACCACTATGCAGCATCCATAAACAGGGTTAGAATGGGCTGTTTTGCGTATATGTTGGGAGGTAACAGGGACAGGGCACTACTGTAATACTTCAGTTCTATAAAGGTTATCAAGAGGTCAACCTGATTCTCTCAGGAGATGCTTTTTCTCAAAGTAAACTAAGCAGGAAGAAATATCCATCAGAATAAATGTACTACTTCATAAAAGTCACTGTGTAGAAGTATGGGAATAAGAGCCAATTCTTTAATATATCATACTGAAGACACAGTGTGAAGATTCTATAGCTACATTGAAAGGCCCACACAGAGTGGAAGTTTCACTGTAGCTGCCTGAAGACTTTAGCAATCAATCTTCAATCAAATTATTAATAGACCCACCCCCATTCCCTCCTACTCCCCACCCCCCCTCACCCCTCACTCCCCCCCTAGATGTTCAAGGGTTAGTTTTCTTCTAAATGCTTTGGTAAACATATACTATCTGATTGTGAAATATTTAGTTGTCTAATTTTACTCGGAAACATGAACCCTTTTTTAAACTTGTGTGTTGTGTGAATGGGCATGTGTTTGTACCCATGAGTGCACATGTGCCTGTGGAAGCCAGAGGCCAGTGTCCTCTGTCACTCTCCACATATGTTTTGAGGCAAAGTTTCTCAGTGTTTTAGTCTCCTGTTTTAGCTAGACTGTCTAGCTCTGAGGATCTCTTGTCTGGCCCCAAAGTGCTGGGATTATGGATGCAGGCCACTTTTATATGGATGCTGGGGATCATACTCCATCCAGTCCTCATGCTTGAGAAGCCGTACTTTACTACTGAGCCATCTCCCCATCCCTCAAACTCAAACCCTTTAAGGTAAATGTGGCTGGCCTCTAAGCCCCAGAAGGCATACAGGTCTGACTCTGACTAAAATCAATGTTTTTAATTGTAAAGACGTTTGCACCTTTAGACTTTAGTTTTCTTACCCTTCACTCCACAATTCAACACATTTCTCTCCATTTCCTGTGGTGCATAAAAAGGTGGTTTGTTCACAGGTGCCCCTAAAAATATTCAATGGCTATTTGGTATCTAATAAGTTCTCTGCTTGGCATTCATTCAACATTTATCAAGCAATTATCTATCTTCTGCTGAGCAGGTGCTCAGTGAAAAATGAGCCTCACAGGTTGTGTGCAGTCTAAATAATGGAAGAGTATCTTAATTCTCATCAAAACTAAAGATGCCAACCAAGAGGTAAAATTATGGTTATTGCTAGTAAACCAAGGAGCTACCCATTTCATAGTTACTGCATTTGAGATGGTAGAAGCAGTTTTAAAAATCAAACGTAATTATGGTGTGAGGACAAAACCACAATCCCACGGTAAAATAAGACTTCACATTAATACATGTGAAGGTCAGGAAAAAAATTATTGACAAAATGCTTCAAAATCTACCACAGCCCCACCCAAAGTAAATTCTCATCAAATTATAATTTCTAAAAAAGTTGTATCACTCCAGTGTCATAAAAATGTTATTTTAATGACTTATTTTTATTTTATGTGCACTAGTATTTTGCCTGCACGCTTGTCTGTGTGAGGGTGTCAAATCACCTAGAACTGGGGTTACAGACAGTTATGAGCTGCCATGTGGGTGCTGAGAATTGAACTTGGGTCCTCTAGAAGTGCATGCAGCCAGTGTTCTTAACCGCCGAGCCAACGCTCCAGCCCCTGTGGACACTACAGGGGCAACCTACATCTTCTCCAGAACCTCTAGGGTCTGTCTCAACCAAGACTTGAGGGTATCTGGAAGTGACTCACTGGAAGGGGCTGAAATTATCTGAATACTTGTTAGTGTCATTTGAATGTAACATAACCCGTATGTACTTGTGAGATTGATCACTTGATCTCCAGTCAATGGCATTATTCTGGGATATTGTAGAACCATCATGGGTTGGAAGTTGACTAGAGAAGCAGGCTGTGAAAGCACACGTGGGCCTGACTTTTTAGAGCCTGGTTCCACTTCCCATCTTCTGTTTCCTGACTGCAGACTGTGATGCCACAAACCACCCCACTTTCCTATTAGCACATCCTCTCCATCATGGTGGGCGGTAGCTCCATGAACCAAGAAGCTGTTTCTTGTCAGTAGTTTTTAAACAGCACCAATGAAAGTAACCAGTACAGAAAATGGGTACCAAGAGTGGAGCTAATACTGGGGTGAGCCTGGCAAGCCATTTGTGAGCCTTTAGGACTACTCTGCAGGAGGAATATAGGAGAGTTGGGAGTTGCTAGGAGACAGCAGAGGTCTGTATTCATGAACTTTCCAGTCTTTCCTGGACATGCACAGAGCAAGGACACCTCTGGATTGCCATTGTACACCCCGCCCCTCCCCCCTGAGGTCAGAGAGGCTGCTCTGCCTTCTTGTTACAGATCACACATTCCAACAATGACCTGGTCACAGTCCACTCACTTGTCATGGTTTCCTCCTCCATGCACTCTTAGCTGGGGAGTCTCTGTGTGCAATGGCCTCCAGGTACAATCACTGCCCACTGCCCCTCAGTGCAAGAGAAGGTTGTTAAGAAGCCTTGGGGAGAAATTACATGTGCCAGAGGAGCTTCCTTCAGGCATAAGGTAAAACGCTATCCGTCATGAGTCCACTGTTTATGAATCAACTGTGTTATGTGGTGTGTGTGTGTGTGTGTGTGTGTGTGTGTGTGTGTGTGTTTAGTCAGACATCTCTATATAACAAGTCCGGTACTGATTGGCTGACAAAAATGTTGTAGCCAAAAGCTCACAGGAACCTACTCTGTATTGCCCTAAGGTAAAGGTTCAGGATTCACTGATCTCGGTACTCATGGGGACTGTGTAAAACGTGACTACCACAGACATGAAGATTCAGCTACTCTGAATCACAGCAGATTTGTTGTAACACCTAGACAGCAGTGTGCAGCCTGAGGTCTTTGCAGAGTTCGGGCAGGGAAGAGCGAAGAAAGAAAGTAACTTAAACTACCCGGCCCGAACAATGGGCTATTTTCTAGCAATGAGTGAGGATAGAGGATTGATCCATGACCATAGCATGCGTAGACCTTGAAAACACTAGTTCTCTCAGTAAGTGAAAGCCAGTCAAGGGGGAATCACACACTGTGTGGTCTATTGATACAAAATGATCAGAAGAGGCAAATCTATAGATGTGGCATTCTGTGGCTGTGATAAAATACTATCCAAATGCGACTTGGAAAGAAAAGATCATTTGAGTCCCAGGGGTTGGGACGAGGGTATGGGTCAGAAGGGAGAGTGACTACTCATCTTCGAGGGCTTGCTTTTTGCAATGGTAGATTACTCTGGGATTAGATAGTGCTGCTGGGTTTCCAACTTAGTGAATATGCTAAGTGCCACTGAATTGAACACCACATTTTGTGGAATAGAAATTACATCTACAAAGTCAATTGTATACCCCCGAAATACAGTTTTCAAAGCCAGGTAACTGCGAGTATGTAGGGAAACTGAGCACCCACACTCTGCTGGTAAGAGTCTCAAATGGTTAAAGAACAGCTTGACTCACCACTTGACCCAGAAATTCCACCCAGGAGAAATGAAAAAACCTATGTCCACACGGAAACCTGTACACAGTTTGTCTTCTCTTCCCCCTTCCCCCCCCCCCCGTCTGACCTTCTCTGCACAAATGCTGATGGCAGCATTATTCATAATAGCCTGAAGCTGACACAATCCAAATAACTACCCATTGATAAATGAAGTGCTTATAAAAGGCATTATTTGAACATACAAAGCAGGGATGCTACAGCATGCCCTAACCCTGACAATATTTTAAACAGAGGAAATTTGTCACCTAGGAGTACACACCGCCATGGTTCTGCTCATATGAAGTGTCCGGGAGGTAGGTGTGGACACGGTGATTTTGGGAGACTCTTACACCATTCTAGTTCCTTGACATTTTCCAGAAAGGACCTAAACACAGAGTCACCTGCCAGGATGGGAGGTGCAGGGTGGATAGGCCCTCTGTTCTGCCTTGGTTTTAGACTTTTGGGTTTCCAATCAAACCATCCAAAGGTTAGGTGCAAGCTAGCACTTAGCAGATGTCTCTAGGAGTCAGGGGTCAGTGTCCTAGTTTGCTTTCTGATGCTGTGATAAAGTACCAGCCTAGGTGACTTGGGAAGGAAAGGGTTTATTTGGCTTACATTTCCATACCACAGTTGGTCACTGAGGGAAGTCAGCAATCTGGGGGCAGAAACCGAAGTAGAGACTTGGAAGAACACTGCATGTTCCCAGGCTCACCGTCAGTCAGTGGTCTCTCTACATAGCTGGCTGTGCTGGAGCTCACTTTGTAGACCAGGTGGGCCTCAAACTCAGAGATCTGCCTGTGTTTCTCCAGTGGAGTGTTCGAATTAATGCCATGCATGCCACCACTCCCAACCCCAGTTACCTTTTTTATATTTCCCAGAACTACTTGCCCAGGGGCGGCACCACCCACAGTGGGCTGGGCCCTCCCACACTAAGCATTAACCAGATAAAATGCCCCACAGACTTGCGTACAAGCCAATTTGATGCAGACATTTTCACAGCTGAAGTTCTCTCCTTCTTCCCAAGTGACCCTAGTTTATAGCAAATTGACAAAACTAACTAGCACAGGGGTTGAGGAAACACTAAAGGCTGAGGTGGGGTATTGATTTAAAAAAAAGTCCTAGCATTGTAATGGTTGCATAACTCCATAAATATGCTTAAAAAGCATTAAGCAGCACATTTTATTTTTATTGATCTTCTGTTTTTGAGGCATTCTCACAAGGTCAGAGTGGGGAGGGCAGTGACTTCAAACTTGGTGTGTAGTCAAGGCTCACTTAGAATTTCTGAGCTTCCTGCTTCCAAACCATAGAGCTGGGATCTCAGGGATGTACCATCGTGTCTGGCTCACTGACTAGTAGGGGTAAATTAATACATATGCATGTAATTCATGAGGGAGGAGGACCTCTGGAGTCTCTGACCCAAGAGCTGTGTCATTACTGGTTGCTGGGACATGGAGGGTCATTTCTCTTTAGGAGTGTGGGCATCGGTAGGTTCCCCGAGCCACAGAGGGTGACTTCCGCTCGAGTGCACAGAAATCGCACTAACTGAATTGGGTGGGCTATACAGATAATAAATAAAACGATTTGAAGTTGGGAGGGAGATGTAATGGGGAATCTTTGAGGGGGTTGAAGGGGAGGGCGGGAGGAGTGGCTATGATCAAGATATATTATACACAGGTATAAAACTTTCGAATAGATGAATTATGTATGAATTTATTTCAATAATCTTTTGGAAAAAAGTAAGAAACCCAAGCAAAATATCTAAATAGCGCCGTTGCGTGCTCTCGCCCCCCCAGTGATAATAAGATGTCTCAGGACTTCAAATCATTTCTGGAAAAGGTCAAGGAAGCAGATAGCCCAAGACTTCTCCCAAAGACTCTGGGTTTCCACTGACTTTCCACAATGAACAGCTCTGGAAACTGTTTGGAGACCCTGGCTGCCTTACATGTATAAATGCGGCAGTTTATCCCAGTTGGGACTCCAGAGTCTAACCCACAGCAGGGGTCAGAGTCACTAGTGCTGGCTCCTGCTAGTCTGAGCTCCGGCTGCTGTGGCGGGGAGGAGACTGGTTTTGCAGAGGAGATGGCAGTAGGGAGAGGCGCCCGGACCGGTTCCACAGAAACCAAGGGTGCAGTGGCTCAGGTCTCCGCCCACTGCTACCCACAGCCGAACTCTGAAAAATCTAGACGGCAGAGACTCTGCAGAGGAGCCGGGTGACGACAGACCAGCTGGCGGATCCTGGCCCACCTCCCTATCCCTGCCGAGGGGCGCGGCCAGGGCTGGTGCACGGGCGGGGCCCCTTCCCGGCTCAAACCCCGGATTGTCCTACCATCCCCAGCAGTCAGGGCTGCAAGGCAGTGCACCCGCGGGGCGGGGACTTGGGACAAGGTGACTAGTGCGCACAGACAGGGCGACCCAGTTGCGCACCCCTCCGGAGTTGTCATTGCCCATGGCCGAGGAGCCAGAACCAGAGCCAGACCTTGGGGCAGCCCAGGGCGGAGTGGAGCCTGCGGTGGAGATGCCGGACTGGAAGGCTCCGGAGGACACAGACCCCCAGGTAGGTGTCTTCCAGGGTCCAGGGTCCGCAAGGTTGCATCTGGGCTGCTTTACAGTGAGATCGAAGAGTCAATAAAGTCACATAAAAAGTAATATTTCAGTTCCTGCACAAACCAGGCAGGAGATGAGTTGTTTACCACCACCACCCCCACACTGCCCAGTTGAGAGCCATGTCTCCACTTCCTGTTTGGGGGGGCGGGGTAAGGAGGAACTGGTTGCAATGCAGACCCAGTACTTCTAATATAAAGGATGCTTGTTTCATTTAACATAGCCTTAGGGCAGTATCAGCTCCCCCATCCCATAGGAAGCTCTCCGGAGAGGCCCTTCTTGTCTTAAAGCCAATAACCTCAGGCTAGACCTTGGGGCCCCAGCAGTCCCTGGGTAGGTGGTCTCCTGGTAGACCAGGGATCAAGGCTACTGGTCTTTCTGACTCTCCCGATGTCCAGGAGTTGCTTCTGGAAGTTTTCTCTGTCCCATTTTAGCCTGGAAGTTATGAGATCAGACACTACGGACCAGCTAAGTGGGTCAGCACTTGTGTGGAGTCTATGGACTGGGATTCAGCCATCCAGACTGGCTTTACAAAACTGAATGGCTACATTCAAGGCAAAAATGAGAAAGGTAAAAGACCATTGAGTTTAAACTTACTGAAGGAATCTCGTTTGTAATAGATGAATAACCAGACTATTGAAATCCTAATGTTTCTACACACGATTGGCCCCCGAGAAACAGTGTAGCTTGAGGAAGGTGCTGCTGGGTCTACCTTTCAATTCTATTCGCCCCCAATTTTTGTTGGATGAAATGGGACTTACCGGTGGCAAATGTCTAATAATTTGTGAATGATAATCAGTGGTACCAAGTGACAGGAATTTGTGCAAGAGCACTAGCCACAAGTCATAACTGTGTGTGTGTGCGCGTGTGTGCGCGCGCGTGTGTGTGTGTGTGTGTGTGTGTGTGTGTGTGTGTGTGTAATTCTACAGGTTTCTTAGTCTAGAGTATTAGGAATAAAGCACATGGGGAACCTTGGCGGATTCCATGGCTTTAAAAATTCAAATTAGCTGTGAACACGCTAAAGGTGCTTTCACGTTTCATGCGGCAGAGATGAAAATGAGGAAGACGGCTCCGGTGACAAGCTACGTGGAGCCCGGCTCAAGTCCTTTCAGTGAGTCTACCATTACCATTTCCCTGTATGTCCCCTCTGAGCTGCAATCCGATCCACCCAGGCCCTCAGAGTCAGATGTCTTCATTGAAGACAGAGCTGGAATGACTGTGTTTGTGCGGTAAGTAGTAGATAATTCACAGCCCGGCTGACTTCAGCCTGTTTTACCTGTGTGCGTTCACCATTTAGCTCCTATGCAGGCTTTTTACCCTTCTGTAAGTGCAATCTAATGCACTCATGGTGTTTTCCCACTGGCTCACCTTTAAAATGTCAGTGAGGTCTATTGCAAGATGAAATCTATTTATTGAAAAGTCTCTTAAATACCTTCCACATATAAAATATAGCACAAACTATATCACACAGAGCACAGGGCCACCCTTTCCCATAACCCAGGTAGACCTGAACAATAATATCTTCAAAAATACAGTATATGATGTCAGCTTAGTGTTTGGGCTGACAAAACAAATACTATACACTCCGTAGCTTATAGGAAACAGAAATTTGTTTTTTGTAGTTCTTACTAAAAACTGGGTTCGAGTTCAAGGTACTGAGAGTTTTAGTGACTGGCGGGACCATTCCCTGGATATATGAGCACACTTGATCCTCTTTGTAAGGCTGATAATCCCTTTCATGAGGCTCACCCCATGACCTAATCACTTCAGAGGCTCTTAAAATCATCACAGGAGCTTTGTGTCTTTCTCATACAAAATGCATTCAGTCACATTCTATTAACCCCAGAAAATAGCCAGATTTTCCTTGTGGCCACCAGCTCACAAACAACAACATGGAGACTTACTATTAATTATGAAAGCTTGGCTTTAGCTTAGGTTTTTCCCCCAACTAAACTAGCTCTTATAACTTAAATTAACATTTCTATTAATCTATGTTCTGCCATGTGGCTTGGTTACCTTTCCTCTGTACTAAATGTCCGACTTCTTCAGTATGTCTGCTGGCATCTCTCCTGCATGCCTAGATTCATCCCGAGTACCTCTCTCTCTCTCTCTGGAAGTCCCACTTACTCTTTCCAGCCTAGCTATTAGCCATTCAGCTCTTTATTAAGTCAATCACAGTGGCACATCTTCATACAGTGTAAACAAATACTCGGCAACACCAGAATCTTAGCTCATTTCAGCACTGACTCAAAGACTCATTTAAATATCATCCAAATAAAATCTGGCTGAGACTCAAGGCATGATTCATCCTGAAGCAAATTCTCCCCAGCTGTGGGCCTGTAAAGTCAAACAATCTGTGGGCTTCCAGAGTACAACAATGTGACATACATGGGAGAGATAGCCTCATTCCAAATGGGAAAATAGTAATAGGACTCAATCAAGACCCAAATCTCAAGACTTTAATCTTTTTGACTCTAGGGTCTGTCCCCCAGGTCCATGGGACTGAAGGTTGAACATCCAAAGCTTTGCTGGAAAAAAAATTAGGCTCTTGATGCCCCACACAGACATATCTCATAATTTTGGGTGCCCCCACGTTCGGCAAAGTTGTCATAGTTTAGAGCAGTGATTTCTCAACCTGGGGATCGCAACCCTTTTGGGGATCATGTATTAGAAATCTTGCTTATCAGATGTTTGCATTACAATTCACAACCGTAGCAAAAATACATTTATGAATTAGTAACAAAATAATTTTGTGGTTGGGGATCACTACAACATGAGGAACTGTATTAAAGGGCCACAGCATTAGGAAGACTGAGAACCACTGTCTTAGCGTCACCTCTCTGTAGATTCTACCAGGTTACTCTTCCAATATGGTGTTCCATTAGGGATGACTGTGTAGTGGGGACTGTCTGTGGTGGCCCAGCCCTTGCTATTGCCCTCTGCCAGTGTGCCTCTAGGAATAGACAAACACTGTTAAACAGAATAAACATGGTCATTGATCTTCTTGAAGGATTGTGTTTTATCTGAATCTGCCAGACTGTTTTTTTTTTTGGTTTGGTTGGTTTTTGATTTGCATTGGTACATTTGTAAGGAAACTTCTACCAATGAAGCATATTAAAAATACTTTTTAGTTCTCATTTTTAAGTAAAAACCATTGTTCTAACTTTTACTCTCTTTCCCTTCCTATCCTTGTGGTGGCTCCATTCCTGTTAATCTGGCCTGTCTCTCAGCCCGTGTTGTTCATACCCAGATCTGGTCAGGTTCCTTTCTGCTTGGCATCATGCAGCATGATCCCAAAAGGTCATAGGTTAACATGCAAAGTTCTGGCTTCAGCTTTCCTTTTGGACCCCGTTTTATGCTTCCCTGTGACAGAGCTTTGTACTTCGCTGTTTCCATTTTTCTTATCCCCGCTTCCTTTGTCCAGGAAAACCATCCTTCATTCTAAGACCAGTTCAGAAGACCACCTATTAGCCTGGACTGAGTGACATCCTTAGTATTCCCAGAGCCCTTTGATCCTGTCTCTGTTAAAATACTTTCTCAGGATGTTTAGATAATGCTGGCAAAATGTTAATCTTTCATTGGACCATGAATGTGTAGACATACAAGTTATATTGTATTCATCTGTAACCCATTGTGTGCCCCAGAGGAGGAAAAAGGGGGAAGTAGTTAATTGAATGTCTGACTCCAGTCTGTTGGCATACTCTCGTAAGTCCCAGGTACTTGGGAGGCTGAGGCAGAAGTTAACTTAAACCTGAGAGTTCTGACCCAGCCTGAGAAATTAACACTCCATCTCAAAGTTTGAAGCAACAATAACAGAACAAAAGGAACACGATACAACAAAGTCCAGCTTGATGGCACATTCTATAATACTAGCATTGGGTTGGCTGAGTTGCAAAGATAATGAGCTTGAGGTTAGCCCTGGATACATAGTGTAATCAGATTTTTCTTTGGGCTGCCAGTTCACAAATAACCACACAGAGACTTATTATAAGTTAAGAAAGCTTGGTCTTAGCTTAGGCTTGTCCCACTAGCTCTTATAATGTAAATTAACCTGTTGTTATTAATCTATGTCTTATCATGTGGGTTTTTACTTTTCTTTCATCTTGCACCTCCCATGTTCTCTCCTTGTCTCCTGGTGTCTCCCCTGCTCCTCTGTCATCTCTTCCCCTTCCCCTCTCTCTCCCTGGAAGTCCCAACTATCTCTCCTGTCTAGCTGTTGGCTGCTCAGCTTTGTATTACACCAATCACAGAAAATATATCTTTACACAGTGTACAAATATCCCACAACAATGTATTGCCTCTAAGGGTTACCTGAGCTATATAGCAAGACTCCCTGATGCACAGTGACTTTTGAGGCAGCCTGCATTGTGTATGAGAGAGAAAGGGATGGGAGGGAGATAAGGAACTTGGAGTGTGGAAGAGGAGTGAGTGTCTGAGGGGCTTCTGTGTGGTTCTATAAATTGAAGCATCAGCTTGTTTCTGGGAAGTTGCACTCTGGTCCTATCCTGCAATCCTCAATGTACATTTTAATAATGTTCTGGAGTGACTTTTGTATATGTTAGCCCACACAAGAAGATGTGAGTTCCAAATGTGCCAATGGATGGGACTTGAGAGTTTTCCTGGGTCTCTTCTGAATGAACTTAAATCCTGGACATGGAAATCAATGGCTGCCTAGGAGCCATTTCACACAGCTTTCAGGGCCCCAGAGCCCGCTGTTCATCTTAGATTAGCGTTGGTACCTATAGTAGAACTATTCATGTGTAATCGCTTTCTCCTCCATAGGTCTTTTGACGGATTCTCCAGTGGCCAAAAGAATCAAGAACAGCTTTTGACGTTAGCAAACATTTTGAGGGAAGAAGGAAAAGTTTTCAATGAAAAGGTCTTTTATACTGCTGGCTATAGCAGTCCTTTTCAACTACTTGATAGAAACAACGAAGTGTGGTTGATTCAGAAAAATGAGCCCTCTAAAGAAAATGAGTAAGAAAATGAAGATGACTGCCAGGGGCAGAGCTTCTGTCGAATGCAGACATCAGCAGCACCACAAGTGAAGTATGTAGTGTCTTCATAGTGTAAATACCTGACATACCGGATACGTCTGTGACCCCAAAGAGGTCGCAACCCGCAGGCTGAGAGCCGCTATTCTAGGGTATCTTATACTAGATACCATCTTGAATCATGCTTATTTCCAGTGTGCCTTTTTGAGAAGCTTTATTTAGGTCTAGGTACCAAGACAAATCTGCAAACAGGTCATACGTGAGATGGCCTCTGCTTCTATGAGGATTAAGGGAAACACCATGCCATTTCCCTCTTATTCACACTATGACCATCAAGTTGCCTTCCTCTGCTTGGACCTATGACATTTGAACGCTCTACCTTCCATATAGTAGCAATAAATATGTTAAAGGTTTGTCCTACATAGAAGTAAAATTATGTCAGACACAAAAATAGTCTCTCACTGCTACCACTGTTACATTTTTCTGGTGAATCCATGTCCCCATCCAGCTACTGCTCCCTGCATAAAGAAATCTCTTACCAGAAAGTATTGACAAAATTTGGAGACAGAAAATAAACTGATGAAATGGTGACATGTCCTCTGCTATTTGACAGGTGTGCCTTCTGAAGAAATATATACCTAATTTCAGCATTCACTTGAATTTTTAAAGCATGCCACGTAGTCTTTCTAGAGGTTTCATGGAAACTCTTAGTCTTTCCAAGTGTGGGTTGGAAATCAAAGAGGTTGGAAAGCCTTGCCTCCTTGTTCTGTCAAGTCTTCTCGTTGGGAAGATCAACTCACATTCAAGTTCCTGGAAGTTGTCCCGAGAAGAGCTCTCACTCTAATGTGGGTTCCTGGGTTGATGGCTTTGAGAGCAGGGGCCAAGCAGGTTAGATTTCAGGAACATCCTGATGATTAAAATTGCTCACAAGTGACCTGGCTCCCACTTCTCATTGACTGTGTAAGCATGGGCCACACAGTCACTTCCTGAGAAATAATCATAGAGGATGCTAAGGGGCCAGGAGATTGGATGGGGCCAAGTGATGCATGAGGTGCCCCAACTTTAATGCCAGAAGGTGTCTTTGTAAAATTAAACTCTCTAGAACAGTGTTCTCAACCTTCCTAATGCTGCCATGTTGTGGTGACCCCCCCAGTATAAGATTCTTTTCATTGCTACTTCATAACTATAATTTTGCTACTTTCATGAATCATCGTAACTATTTTGGGAGACAGAGATTTGCCAAAGTGGTCCCAACCCACAGGTTGAGAAGCGATGCTCTAGACCACCATAGTTACACGCTTCTAGATACCTGATTCTGAGTGCTTCGCCTGAATCCTCACAGTTAAACTTCAGAATAAACCACATGTGAGCATCATTATTTTATACAAGGGGAAACTGAGGCACAGAGATCTTAGTTGCCCCAGACAAAACTGTAAGGGCAGAGGTTGTCCTGGTGTTCCTTTCCTTCCCTCACCAAGCCAACTGAGGTAATAGCTTACACAAAGAAACCCTTGAGACAGTCATTCTTGATACAAAGTAAGCTACATTTCTGGTTTTTAAATTACAGGAGATATAAAAATATTCAATCGTCAGTGTTATTTCCTTGAGTTGCATGTTGAATTTATTGATTTCTTACAAATCTATGCTTGCCAAAAAGAAAGCACTTTTATAGCGTGGATATATATGATCACTAGCTGGGGGATGCTTTTTGTCTCTCCTACTGATGAAAGTTCACAGTACTAACTTCTGTTAGGAGACAAATATTTCCAGTATTTAACATTAAGTCCTATATGAAACATTCATAATTTCTGTTTTAAATGGGAGGAACCTATTTATGATGACTAAAATGGAAAGATGTTAAAAAAATACCTGATTTTTGCCCCATTCAAGTTCAATGTATTCCATTTTCCCTTTCTCTTCCTCTAGAAGCTAACATCATTTCAAGTGTAAATTGGTAGATCCAGACAGAGTTTTTTCTCTCTGGCCAGCCTCTAGGCTATTTGGTGAATTCTAAGATGGTAAGGAACCTGGTCTCAAAAAACAAACAAACAAAAAGCCCAACAACAACAAAAACCAGACTGAACATCTCCTGATGAAAAAAATAGCCAAGGTGAAAGACACTTAAAGTGCTCAGCATCCTCAGCCATCAGGGAAATGCAAATCAAAACAACTCTGAGGTACTATCCTGCTCCTTTCAGAATGGCTAAAATAAAAAACACCAATGACAGATTATGCTGGAGAGATGTGGAGAAAGGGGAACACTCCTCCACTGCTGGTGGGAGTGCCAACTCGTACAGCCACTTTGGAAATCAGTATGGTGGTTCCTCAAGAAACTGGGACTCAGTCTACCACAAGATCCAGCAATTCCACTCTTGGCATATACCCAAAAGATGCGCATTCATACAACAAGGATATCTGTTCTAATATGTTCCTAGAAGCATTATTTGTAATAGCCAGACCTGGAAGCAACCTAGATGCCCCTCAACTGAAGAATGGATAAACAAAATGTGGTACATTTACACAATGGAGTACTACTCAGTGGGGTTAAAATAAAACCAATGGAATCTTGAAATTTGCAGGCAAATGGATGGAACTAGAAGAAATCATCCTGAGTGAGGTACCCAGTCACAGAAAGACAAGTATGGCATGTACTTACTCATATATGGATTTTAGACATAGAGCAAAGGATTATCAGCCTACAATTCGTACCGCTAGAGAAGCAAGGAAACAAAGAAGACTCTAAGAGAGACATACATGGTCCCCCAGAGAAGGGGAAAGGGCAAGGTCTCCTGAGCTAATTGGGAGCATTGGGGGGGGGGAGAGGGAGTGAGGAGAAAGAAGGAGAGAAGAGGAGGGGAGAGGAGGATATGATGGAGCAGGAAGATTGAGTCAGGGGAAGAATAGAGGAGACCAAAAAATGAGATACCACAATAGAGGGAGCCATTATAGGTTTAAAGAGAAACCTGGCACTAGGGAAATGTCCATATATCTACAAGGATGACCCCAAATAACAATCTAAGCAATAGTGGAAAGGCTACCTTAAATAACCTTCTCCAATAATGAGATTGATGACTACCTTATATGCCATCTTAGAGCCTTCATCCAATAGCTGATGGAAGCAGAAGCAGACACCCACAGCTAAACACTGAGCTGAACTCCTGGAATCTAGTTGCAGAAAGGGAGGGGTGATGAGCAAAGGGATCAAGACCAGGCTGGAGAAACCCACAGAAACAGCTGACCTGAACAAGAAGGAGCTCATGGACCCCAGACTGATAGCTGAGAAACCAGCATAGGACCAATCCAGAATGTGAGTGTCAGCTAGGAGGCCTGGGCAGTCTATGGGGCCTCTGGCAGTGGATCAGTATTTATCCCTAGTATACGAATGGACTTTGGGAGCCCATTCTACATAGAGGGATACTCTCTCAGCCTAGACACCTGGGGGAGGGCCTAGGTCCTGCTCCAAATGATATGACAGACTCTGAAGATCCCCCATGGAAAGCCTCAATCTCCCTGGGGAGCAAAAGAGGGTGGGGTAGGGTGGTCAGTGGGGAGACAGGGGAGGAGGGAAGGGAGAGGGATTGACATGTAACACAAGATTGTTTCTAATTTAAATTAAAAAAAGAAAAGATAGCCAAGATTGTTCCCTGGCCTCCAAATGTACGCACATATCCATGCATGCTCCCACACACATATGTGCCTGTTCACACAGAGGTGAACACAGACATACTTGAAATGAGCCTGTGAGACAAAAAACATGGAAGGTTGTGTGGCTGTCACACAGCATGGCCAGGGAAGGTCCTTCTGAGGAGAGCCCCAGGAGAGAGAATGATAGAAGCCAAGAGCCGAAGGGTACATCTTGGGTAGATGCGGTGATGGCCAAGGAAGAGGTCATGCTCAGTGACCACACAAAAATGCTGGACATGCTGCCTGCTGAGTGGGCCAGCCAAGCCCCTAGGGCACTGGCTCTATGGATAAAGAAAACTGCTGACCTTACACAGGGCTTTAGGATATCCAGAATCCAGGGATTAAAGGGCTTTCTAAAGCATGTATGGATTGAGTTGTAGCTGAGGAGGTACAGTTCCCAGAGTTGGGACCTGACTTAGAAGTGGGGTTGCTGATGTAAAGCTGGCAGTGATCCTACTCGTCACTGTGACACTTCCTTCCTGAGATTTGGCCAAGGGAGGGACTCAAAACAGGAGCACAAGTCAGACACCATGGAGGAGCATTGCTAAGTGGTCCACTGCCACTCCTGGTTGGCTCAATTACCATTCGTGTGCAGCCCAGGTTCACCTGCCCAGAGTTAGCATTGCTCAGGGTGGGCTGGGCCTTTCTGTGTCAACTCAACTGGCAACCAAGAAATGCCCTCGCAGGTCAATCTGATGAAGGCAATTTTTCAACTGAGGGTCCCTCTTGCCAGGTGTGTCAAGTTGACAACCAAGATTAGCCATCACACCCACTATACACAAGAGCCTACGCCCTATCCCCAGTGGCTTAAGAAATAAACAGATCAGAAGGACCACTTTTAAACTGTCAGGTGTGGTGCTTCGTCCTAGGAGTCCTACTGATGAGGAGGTGAATTCAAGGAGATTGCTGGGGCTTCGTCAGCCATCCTAGCCTACTTCACCAATTTCAGGCCAATGGGAGCCACTGCCTCCAAAGTTAAGGGGACAACACTGGAAGATTAGCTCCTGAGGTGGGCTTCTGGTTTCCACATGCATAAACACACACGAATATGCAGATGCACACAGAAAAATAAACGATTACAACTCCTTCACCCATACAGCCAAGCAGAAAACCCTGCAGGTCAAGTGTGAACTCGGATGGTGAAATTAACTACAAGACCAGCCAATGTCCAACCAGACCAGGTCTGTGATGCCTAGATAGATTCAAATGTCTGAAACACGGTGAGGACAGGCTGGCAGGACCCCGCCCCCCCCCTTTCTTAAAGAACAGGTCTCTAATCCAGGCTGGTCTTGAATTCCTTGTTTTCATTACTTTTCTGTTGCCGTGATAAAGCACCATGAGCAAAAGCAACTCACAGAAGTAGGGGTTCATCCGGGGGTGGGTGGGGCAGGAAGTTGAGAGTTCATATCTTCAAAAAGCAGGGAGCAGAGTGAACTGCAAGCATCTGTAAGAGGCTTTGGCCCCTCGAAGCCTGCCTCCAGTGACATACCTCTTCCAGCAAGACTCGAACCCTCCCCAAACAGCACCACTAACCGGGGACCTAAATCACTATATCGAACAGGACCTTGACTTTCTAATCGTCTTACCTCCGCCTTCCACGTGCAGAGATGTCAGGCCTGACCACTGTTGTAGGAAGCTATCCTCTGAGCCAAATGGCTGCCATCTTCAGGCATCCAACGCGGCCTGCTTACCAGATATCGTAACTACTGGGCTTGTCGAACTGTCGATGTTCCCTCTTGGAAGGAAGGGATGGGAAGGGTCATTACCCTCACCTGACTAGCCAGCACTCCCAGTTATATCCAATTCTGCCCTAATTGCTTGCTGCAGGAGTCTCTGGGAGGGGCTACAACTTGTGGGTGGGGAAAGACGAGGGGCGGGGCTTCCCTGGGGAAGGGAAGTCATCAA